GGCTTGCCAATTAACTTGATTAAGAATTTTGTGCCATTTTTGGAAGCAGTTTTGTGTGATCCATAGTGTATAAATATATGCATAACATATTGTAGGAATACTGTGATGAGTAGGTAGTTCTAAAGAAAAGTTTTCGAAATTTAAGGTGTATATGGAGTTGTAGTTATTATAGAACATAAAGGTAAGATATGGCAGATTGTGGTGGCTGCATGCAAATTGGTGTGCAAACAGATATTTTTTAATCAGATTTTCTAATATTGCATATCTTTTCTTTAAAACTATACTAGCATTGCTTATAACCTCTGGGCCATCAGAAAGAAAGTGAAAATACTCTATATCATTACTTTTTAAACACACTTTATAGATTTCATAAATTTCTACATCTTTATTAATAATTTGAAAACTTCTGTATAATTGGCAAAAGAGACTCATTTAAATTTGTTTTCATATAAAACATTATTTTGAATCATAGTTCTATGAGTTGTCAACATATATTGTGCTTTTAGTAAAATTAAACTAGAATCAAAATCACAAAAGCATAACATCTTTGTTGAACAAAATATTATAAAGGTAATACATTCAATTTAAATAAAGCTTCAATAAGCTGGGTATTTAAAAATCAATGTTTTGTTTTAAATCATGAGTTCTTCTTAAAAGCATAAAACAGTGCATAACATTTACTATAATGATAGACTAACCAATGTGCACGAACAGCATATCATGACTTATTTTATTCCATTCTTTTGAAACCTCTGTTAAAGAAGAAGGATTATTTAATAAAATAAAAATTATATGTTTAACTTTAATTGAAAACAATTTTATGATTAATTTGAGAACAGAAAAAAAAAATAAAACAAATGATTTATTTATAATTATTAGTTTATAATATATCACATGATTAGTATATCAAGATATATTATTAACTATCATATCTAACTCTTTTACAATTATGCATTGAAGTTTTAGTTGCTATTCCTGTATCCTTTATTTTATTTTCTTGTTCAAGAGCAATTATCCTTTTTTTTAAGAAAACTATTTCAGTTTCTAACTTCTTATTTCTATTATATAATATTTTATTATCATCTCTATCTTTTTTGTTTTATTCAATTAAATTATCTTGATTATTCAAAAGTCTTTTAATTATATCATCTTTGTCATTAAGTAAATTTGATAAATTTTCAAATCTTTTTTTCCTTTTATCTAATTCATTATTCAACTGACATATTTCATTCTTATATCTTTAAATTCTATTATTTTCTCAAATAAGTTCATCTTTAAGATCATTTATATGATCATTCTTTTCATTAATCATTTTATAACATTTATCAAGTTTTCTTTTAAGTTTTTTAACTTCATTTTCAGTATTTACATTTTTATTCTTTAATGCATTAGAAGGTGCATTCATATTTTTATTAAATGATTCATTAATCCTTTCTTTTTTGGCATCATTTTCATTTAAATCTTTTATTTTTTCTTTAACAAAAATCATTTCATTAACAGTTATATTCTTTGAAATTTCTCCTTTAACAAAATGATCATTATCAATAAAAGTATTAAAAATCTTAATATTATTTGGTATAAAAATGTATGAATAACCAAAAGTTCTATCATTGGTAATATATTCATATCTATTTAATTTATTTGATTTATTAAATTTAGTAGAATAATAATTATTTGTATTAGTTTCAAAATATATTTGTTTCTTTATTTTCTTTAGGTAAAAGTTGTTGAACTTATTCAGAAATTTGATCCTTATTTTAATAACTTTTTCTAGTTAACATGTTTGTTACAAAAATAAATTTTGAGTATCTATTTTCTGAATTGAATATAAAAACTAGTTTCACAATTTTCTAAACATAGATAAATTACTAGTATTGAATAGATGATAAAGACTGTCTTATCATGTAATTCTTAACAATTTTTTATCTATCCTTCTTTTGGTAATTCTTATAACTACAAATAACCAACAGACATTTATCTTTTCTTTGTAATTGTATTCTTAAATTTGATACACAATTCCATTGTATAACATTAATGTAAATAAAATATATTGATGATCATTTATTACATTTTGTATAATGTAATAATTAATGTAATTATCAAGTGCATTAGTACACCTTATTCAATAGATGAACCAAAACATCTTATATAAATTTTCTCAAATTACCAATTCTCTTTTACTTTTACTTCTTTTTACCAAATTTCAACTACTTCTGATCTTATTAATTCTTTTTTTTTTACAACTACTAATACTAATTCTATTTTTAATCAATTTTCTATTACTAACAGCTTTAATATTTCTAATTCAAATCTCAACAAGTCTAGCAATCCTAACCAATCTGAAAATATTTTAATAAACTTTTTTTTAAATCTTATTCTAGTATGCTCAAACCAAAATTTAATTTTACATATAACTAAGTTACAAATTTTTCTATTACTAAAGAAATGCAACTTAATAAAAAATTGCAAACTCTATTCTCTTTCTAACTTTTTATCTTTCTTAAAAAATTTCTTTATGATTTCTATTCTGGCAAAGAAATTAAACCAGCTACTGCTATCTAACTTGTACTCAAAGTCTTATTCTACTATATTATTTATATTATAGCTATGTAATGATCTAAATTCTTAACTGATCTTATCTATAACAGTAATTCTAGTATTGATAAAAGCATTACTATTCCTTTTAACCTTTTTGAATTAACCTTAAAAAACCTTATTCTCAAATTAATAATCATTCTCTTTATTAAACTTAATTATCTTAAAATTTTTGCTTCATTAGTTATCATTTCTTTATATACAGCTCACAATTATCTTCAACTCTGTTTTAATCTTATCCACCTATATCTTTTTTTATCTAATAATTAACAATCAATTGATTATCAAAAGTTTACTAAAGATCTATAGCTCAGATCTAAAAGATTCAAAATTGAATCTTTTACTCAAACTACAGATCTTAAATAAAAATATCTTACTATTTAATCAGATGCTAAAATTTATATTAAACTTTTCTTTAATAGTTCTAAAGCTTTCTTTTTTAAGCAATTCTGTATTTCTTCATTAAAAAATTCTCTTAATCATTTTAATTCCTAGTTTGAAATCTATTATTCTCTTTATAGCAAGCAATTCTCTTTCAATATTAATAAAGAAAAAGTTTGCATCTTTCTTAGAATTTAATATTGTCAACACTTTATCCTTCAACTCTTTAAACACCTTTCTGAAATCTACATCTTTAAAAAACCTAACTCATTTCATAAATAATGTAAAAAAGCATTTTATGTTGCTAAGTTTCATTGTTTTACTTATAACAACAAAGAATATCAATATCTCAATGATAAGAAATTCCATAATAGTGCCAAGCTTTTCAATAATATTTTAACCAAATCTCACTCACTATTCTCACCTTAGAATAATGAAATATAGATTTATTTAATTCTTAATGCCAAACTATTTTATAAAAACAAAAAACATGCTGTCGTACTTGATTAACCTATTCTTACCAAAGCTCTGAACAAACTAGCTAATTAAGCTAAAAACTTTGTTTGTAAACAAAACAAAGTTAAACTAATCTCAAATATTATAATTATTACTTCTATTGCTATCTTTCTCTTTACTACCAAACCACTGCTAAAAATTATAATATACAGTCTCTGTTCAAGAAAGAGGCTATTAATCTTTTGACAAAAAAAATTATTTATACTAAATTTTTTGCTCAAATTATTACATACTTTGATGTTATAAAAAACCAAAAGCCAACTTATTTACAAATTGTTAAATATTTTAATGATACTGTTTATCTAGCAGCTAAAAAATTTTTATTAAAAAATTTAATCTTAACTTTCAACTAGTTTTTATCCTTAACTTACTCTTTTTACAGTTTCTTTTTTAAGCTTTTTGTCTTTAATAACCAACATTGAAGCAGCTATTACCTTATTAAAAGATACAACCATTATAGTTAATAAGGAAAATAAAATAAGTAGACAGATAAACAAATCTATTTATATAGAAGGCCATATTAATAATGATCAAACCCAATATACAGAGCAGACTATGGTGCCTTGTACAGCTATGAGAGCCAAGCATATAGTAATTGATTCTGTAGAAGACAATTTTGAAAAAATATTTACAATATCTTTAATTTTTTATAATTTTTATACATAATTTAACAGATTTCTTTTTTATTACAATTTATTATTTCTTCTTTATAGTCAAACTATTTAAACCTTAATTCAACATATTAACAAATATTATAATAACAAAACTGTATCTAGTATTACATTTTTTGTTAATTTATCTTATAATAAAACCTACATATATCTTTATACTAATATTCTTTTGCCAAATCATATTATTATTGCTTTATATCTTCTTCTATTATTCTATAATCTTCTTTTAGATTCAACTCTTTTGGCTCTACTTCTGTTTTATCTAACTCTTTTTCTAACAACTATTACTCAACTTCTATTAACTATAACTTTTTTTTACATTCTTCTAACTTAAGTTTTCATTATTTTAACCTAACTATTGCTATATACAATGTTAGAGGCTTTAATGAATAACAAAAAAAAAAGCCTAACAAAATTATTGTCATAATAATAACATATTTATTGCCAGTATTACTAAAATAAAAATTTCTGACAAAACTAACTTTTTCTTCTGCAACAACTACCTTTTTACCTATTATTGGTCTAACTCTTTTACTTTTATAAAAAAGACAGCCATTATGATTTGTAATCATCTTAAACCTTACATTCATGATATTCATACTCACTCAGAAGAAGCTATTGCACTTGATATTTTCTTTTGAAACAATGTCAAACTCTGTATTATCTTAGTACAGTCGAACCTTTATAATTGCACCCTCTTGGGACCAACTATAAAAGATCATTTATAGAAGGTGTGCAATTAAAGAAAAATAAAAGTTTTATAATAAATTATATTATATATTGTTATAATCTATTAATACTGTTGTTATTTCAAACTATATATATTTATATGTACTATTAATGAAAATACATATCTATATTAGTTTGCATCATTGATCTAATTTTTTTCTTTCTAATAAAATTTTCAAGACTATCTGTTTGTTTTAATTGCCTACCAATCTCAACAGTTTCTTCTTGTTGAAGTAAAAACAATCTAACATTATTCAAATTTTCTAATGCTGCATTAGCACTAATAATCGGTAATTCATTACTATCATCATTTTCATCTACATTATCTGTTTTATTTGATTCATTAGCATTTTCAGAATTAAACACACCAACAAGCTCCTCAATAATTTTATCATCACTAGAAACTTTATAGATCACATTTTCATCTGGAAAGTTCAAAAACTCATCAATACTCATTGCGTTAGAAAAAAAATTAAGGACTTCAATAAGTTGGTTATGTGCCAGATCATCATTTTTAAATAGTAAATAAATATAAATATAAAGTTAAAATATATTGATCTCGATAATTAAAATTCATATAATTAATAATTTAACAAGTTATTACCTAGTTTGTACCAGATTAGTGCTAATAGAAAGGATCTTCATTTTGCGCCAACAATTTTTAATTGTTTCAATAGTGACTTCTTCTCAACCCTTAATTATGTAACGAATAGCTTAAAGAACATTCATCTTCAAGTCTTGGATTAGTTTGCCCCCTTCGACTCTCTCTAAAATCCACCTAAATATTAGTTATTTATAATAGATAGCATTAAAATAGCAAATTAAGATTAAAATAAATGTAAGCAAACAAGTAATTGTGTTCATAAGTGAAGCAAATGATGAATTCATAGATTAATAAATTAACATAGGGTAGGTAAATAATAATTTTTATAATATATGCAAGCAAAGCAAACAATTAATAGATTAATAAATAAATAGATAAACGAATGAACAAATTAATGAATAAACGAATGAATAGATGAATTGACAATAGGTTAAGTAAATTAAAATTAAGTTTATAATATATATGAGTGAAGCAAACAAATTAATAGATTAATAAATAAATAGATAAGTGAATGAACAAATCAATAAATAAATGAATGAATAGATAAATATATAAATTAATAAATTAACGATAGAAGGGTAAAATAAATAATAATTAAGTTTATAATATATGCAAGCAAAGCAAACAAATTAACAGATCAATAAATGAATAGATAAGCAAATGAACAAATTAATGAATAAATAAACGAACGAATAGATAAATATAAAATTAATAAATAGTAAATAAATAAGTAAATAGATTAATAAATAAATGAACCAATAAATTAATAAGCAAATGAATAAATACCAAAGAGATAAATAAGTTGGATAGATAAAAGGTAAACAGATGAAAAGAATTGATTAATTAGTGAATGAATAGATAAATGAGTGAATAAATAGAAGATAAATGGATATAACTGAATGAATTTTGGATAAATTATTAGACAAGTAAAAAAATAAATAAAAATAAATAAATTAATAAAAATTAATAAAAAAATAGAAGAATAATATATGAGTGAATACATACCTGAGTGAGAAAATAAATTAATAGATAAATAATCAATAAATAATTTTATAATTAGATGCACAAATAAATAAATTTAGATAATTGATTGTAAATAAATAGTTATATCGATATATTTAAATAAATATATAAAATAAAAAATAAATGCCTTACTAAAGTTGAAATCAGCAATAATGTTTTTTAAAAGACATTATTATTCCAGCATCCATTGGCTAAATAACCAAAGTAGTATATAGAGAAAGGAAATATATGTCAGTATTATTTAGTTTTATACCAGTAATTTTATAGCTACTACAGTTATCAAGTAAAAGAAGCACTCATTGATTTTTATATTTTTTTGCCATTTGTGCATCAAAATCTTTCAACCAGTTTTGGAAATGAACTGCAAGCATCCATGCTTTAGTATTGTTATAATATTTGATAGGTAAGTTTTGAATATTAATATTCTTGAAACATCATGGTTTAGCATATTTCCCGATTATTAATGGGTTTAGCTTATGTGATCCATCTGCATTTGTGCATAGTGCAATTAATAATCGTTCTTTATTTTTTTGCGACCTGAAAGACATCGTGTTGCCAGTATCTGATCTGGCTCTAACCTGTAATTAAAATAAAAGTTTTAAACAATAATAAAAATCAAAAATTTTAAATAAAT